AAATTACAAGGTGCTCGTAACCCAGGTAATCGAGCCCACACGCTGTTGTCGCCTCTGCGGTTTCTATTATTCCCACGGGCAGTGTTTCCCAGGTTTCTCACACGATAAACATTGTCCCCCCTGGAGATCTGGGTTCTTTGGGCTAGTTTAGAATGGGACTCGGGAATTTAATTTTTTCAGTAATTACCATAGTTCCTATCATCTTGGGTCCTCGAAAGATCCATCCAGACTATGTACCCTCCCTCTTCTGCCCACGTAAGGCCACCTTCCAAGGCTGATTTCCTGTCTCTTGGATCCATTCCTTTCCTACAACCTGCCCTGAAACGATGGGAAACGCAGTCCTCTGCACAGCAACGATGCCAGAACACCAACGGTCACACCACATGAGGATGTCACAGAGGTCACTTTAACTCCTCCTGTCCCTCTCCCCACCCCAATCCCACCTCTCAGGTGGAAACTGTATGGACACATGTTTACCTTCCCCCTGGGCTCTCATTCCCTGAGACCTGTTTCTCTTGGTCTGCCCCATTCCTCCTTAGTTCATAAATTGAAGAAATACCAAAGGTACCTTCCCTTGTCAAAAATTGCTTTAGTTTCAGTTGAATTGGTTGATGGGGTCAGTTCCTTAACTGACCCCAGGGAGAATAAAGAATTCACAAGAAGGGGTGTTCACAGTGGAGCGGCAGCATGGCGGCACCACCCGCCTTGTGTGGGTGTCTTTTTTGAATTTGCAGACTTCCTCACTACTAGTATTTTCTATGAGGTGAGTCATCACACCATCCAACACCATAGGAGCAGAATCTGGAGTAATACTAATAATATTCAAAAACAACACATGAGAAGACTCTCAACATTATTAGTCATTAGAGAAATTCAAATCAAAACCATGAGCTACCACTTTATATTAACTAGGATGGCTATAATATAATTTTAATTTAAAAAATAAAATACTATCGGTAAGGGTGTGGAAGAATTGGAACTCTTATCCATTGCTGGTGGGAATATAACAAGGTGCAATTTCTGTGGAAAACAACTACAGTTCCTCAACAATTCAGACTAAAGTTAGCATATGAGCTTTGGCTGGTGTGGCTTAGGTGGTTGGGCATTGTCCTGTGCACCAGGAGGTTGCCAGTTCGATTCCTGACCAGGGCATATGCCTGGAGTTGTGGGCTTGATCCCTGGTAGGGCATGCAGGAGGCAGCTGATCAATATTTCCCTCTCACATTGATGTTTTTCTCTCTGTCTCTCTCTCTTCCTTCCTCTCTGCCTAAAAATCAATAAAAATCTTTTTTTTAAAAAGTTAGCATATGATCCAGAAATTCCATTTCTAGGTATATACCCAAAAGAATTGAAAACAGGTACTCCAACAAATACTTATACACGAATTTCACTGCTGCATTACTCACAACAGCCAAAAGTCAAATGCAACCCCATTGTCCATCAACGGATGAGTGAATAAACAAAACTGTGGCACATACATACAGTGGACTATTATTCAGCTCTAAAAGGAATAAAGCACTGATACATATTACAATGTGGATAAATCTCAAAAACGTGCTAAATGAAAGAAGGCAGACAGAAGGTCACATAGGACATGACCCCAATTACATGAAATACGCAAAAAGGGTCAATCTATAGAAGCAGAAAACAGATGGGTGGTTGCTGGTGGGCGGGGAGTGGTGGGAAGGAGGAGGAGAATGGGAGTGGCCGCTTAAAGGGAATGCGTTTTATTTTGGATAAAAATGTTTTGGAGCCCGAGAGAGGTGGTGGCTGTACAACATGTGAATGTTCTGAATGCACTGAACTGTTCACTTTGAACCGGTTAACGTTATGGTGCAGGCATACCTTGTAGATACTTAGGTTCAGCCCCAGACTCCCGCACTAAAGGGAATATTGCAATAAAAGGAACCACACAAATTTGTTTCCCAACGCATATAAAAGTTCTGTTTACACAAAGTCCTTTATTGCTAAAAAGGGGGGAAAAATGCTAACCTTCATCTGAACCTGTTGGAAAAATGGTGCCGGTAGAATTGCTCCTTGAAGGGTTACCACAAACCTTCAATTTGACAGAAAATGCAACATCTGCAAAGTGCAATAAAACGAGGTATGCCTGCATATGAATTTCACCTCGATTTTTAAAAATGTTAAAACGTAAGGAAAAAAGACGTAACAGCAGCCAGGTGGGTTTTCAGATGCTGCCATCCTTTGCCAGACCTTGGCAGGCAAAGGCTGCCTCTTCCTCTGACTGTATGAGTCACAGCAGCTCTGCTGCCTGTGATGTCAGTCCTGCCGTTAACAGCCTCCCACTGGGAGACCCCTTTCTGTGCTGTGGCTTCAGTCCCCACTTTGCTGAGTACCAGAGAGACTCATGGAAATAGATTAGACTTCCTTAACCAGGAGGTCAAACTTACACCTGAGCATTTCTAAAAGCTTTTTTAGGTTGATTAGCATGCAAAGGTAGAATACTTCATGTCAATTCCCAGCTCAGAGCCATGAAAAGGGCTCCTGATTGTACATGAGAACTCATAAATGTTTAAAACTAATTCTACCTAGAAATTTCAGCTTAATCATTATAAACAAATAACAGCAGGAGGAAGTGGTTATAAACTACCCTCTGTTCTAATTTTAAAATGTGAATAATTAACCTTCCAGGAAAAAAGTGCAGAATTTTAAGAGCAGTTCAATCCAATAAATGTCCAATTTAGGACTAGATGGGCACTGCTGGGGCAGGCTGCTGGCCTGATTTATTGCGGCGGCGATTCCCATGAGAGCAGTTATACTTCAGCTCGGCTACTGGAGCAGTAAGGCCCTGAAGTTCTGCTTCCAGGCACCTCCATGCTGGATAACATTGATTTTAATGGGGATGTGGCATGTGTAAAAGGCATAAAAAGTTCACATTTTTGCTACATCAAATTTTGTTACCCAAAATGCTAAGTTACTACCGATTTCATATTTTAAAAATCAGTTTCTTGCCCTACCTGGTTTGGCTCAGTGGATGGAGTGTCGGCCTGTGGACTGAGGGGTCCCGGGTTTGATTCCAGGCAGGGGCACATGCCCGAGTTTTGGGCTCAATGCCCAGCAGGGGGCGTGCAGGAGGCAGCCGATTGATGATTCCCATCATTGATGTTTCTATCTCTCTCTCCCTCTCCCTTCCTCTCTGAAATCAATAAAAATATATATATTTTTAAATCAGTTTCTCCAAGGCAGAACTGCTAATACTTAGAGATTATTTCTTAAGCTTTATGTAATCTAGAATTAAATACATGTTTTTATCATTGTACCCAACTATACAAAAGTTTGTGTTCAGCAGCAGCCTTACGAGAACAAAAGTCAGTCCAGACAGCTTGGCACCGGGCTGTGATAATACAGAAAGGCACATCCTGCCCGACCTCTCCAGGGGACTCTTGCTCCCACAGTATCCCAAGAAATGTTTTTCTTAAAGTGTCACTTCACTATAAGGAGGCGTCAGCATGTCGGCATACTGGTAACTGCCCAGTGTAAATTATTACCCTGATTACTTTCTTTCTAAATGAGGGAAAGAAAAAAAAGGAATAGAAAGAGGAGGCGGAAGGAGAGGAAGAGAAAGGGAAAGATGAAGAAGAAGAAATAATAATGAAACTAGGAGAGCAATCTGGTTTCTCGGCCTCAGAAGCAATTAACACTGGAGGCAGAATGGACGCAGCTGAACATTAACACCCACTCTGGTTGGCCTTTGACAGCACAGGGTCCTGACGCGTGCGCCTGGCTTTCAGAAACCACCTAGCTGGGTTCAGGCCCCACCTCTCCATTTAGAAGCATGTGACCTTGGGTGAGTTAATTAGTTCTGAGCCTTATCTTCTTCATCCAATAGGAATGATCCCACCAAGCACCTGGAATAGAGGCCTAAGTGAGAGAACCTGCCTACATGACTGTGCCGGCTGGAGGCAATTTGCCTCTCCCAGGGTGTGAAGCCCTAACAGCTTAACCTGTGTGAGTCACCCCAAGATGTGCTCTGTGGTATGCAAATTATTTTGAACTAAAGGCAACCAAAATGCTTCAAGAGAAACTTCTGCCCTTCTCTCTTTTTAACTACCTAGATTACAAGAACTTGAATTAGGGGCCTTGCCCATAATAAGAAATTATCAGAGATAACTTTATCTACCTACTAGGGGCCCAGTGCACGAATTTGTGCACCTTGAAAGGAACTGTGGGCCACAAGGCTGCGGTGGGCACAGGGGCAGGTCTTGGCCCATCCTCCACGCCCCTGCCTGGCCCCTCCTGCCGCTGCCCTGGTCCCGTCAGCCGGCAGCCCCACTCCCACCGCTGCTGCTCCCACGCGCTGATGGCACTGGCCCCACTCACACCCACTGATGGTGCAGAGCGATTGGGGCCGGCCACTGCTCCCCCGATCACCCCTCAGGAGCAGGAGGAGGTGGAGAAGCCCTCAGGGGCGATCATGGCTGGCAGCCACTGCTCACACTCACTGATGATGCCAAGTGATTGGGACCGGCGCCGGGAGCTGGCAGCGGGTGCGAGCAGGGCCAGCGCTAGCAGCAGGTGCAAGCACCGAGTAGGACCGTGGCATGCAGGAGCAAAGAATTTTCAGTAACCACCAGAGGCTTGCCCTGATGACAGCAACTGGCACCCTGCCTTGGTCTGGCGCCCTCACTCACCTGCTCCAGCATCCCCCCATGGTCAACGCCTGCCATGTTCTGCATGCACCCCCTGGTGGTCAGTGCACAACATAGCAACCGGTTTTTTTATTGTTCTGCCATTTGGTCTATTTGCATATTAGGGTTTTATATATATAGATAGATAGGGCAGGGCAAATTACTAATTATTGAATGTCTGCTCTTCTTCTCATCCTGCAATGACCTCTGAAGCCCCCAAAGTGCCTTACCCCATCCTAGCTCAGAATGTCATATATGCCTCATTTTAACTTTCCGTCCCTGACCCTCTCGTGTATGTGAAGGTTTGTCACTGCTGTTGATGCTGCACCAGGGAAATCAGAACATAGCCAATGCTATTGTACTTTTTATTAAAAAACAAATTAAATAAAATAGTGATCGGTTCTATGTAAAATTGAACCAGAGTCACTAGTTCATGGTGGGGAAGGCTGAGAAGAGGGAGACAAGGATGCGGCTGCAGCAGATTCTTTCTCTTCGTATCTGGGAGGCAGTTCAGACGAGAGATGTGGTGTGTGGGAGGTCTCAGAGGACGAAGGAGTCCCCGAAATGGTGTAGATGGATACACGCTCTCTCTCAGGGGCTGTGCCTTGGCCCTCAGGAGCTGGAGTCCTGCTGAAAGAGAGAGAGAACATGAAAGGGAGGAGAAGGTTCTTTTCAAATGTACAAGGACCTAAGGAGTCATTTTTTCACATTCTATTATTTATACACTAGAGGCCCAGAGCATGAAATTCCTGCATGGGTAGGGTCCCTAGGCCTGTCTGGCGATCAGGGCCGATCAGGGCCTTCTAGCTGCCAGCCGGGGCCTCCCTTCCCCAGCTGCTGGCTGCCGGCTGGGGCCTTCCTTCATTCTGCGCCACCCCCTGGTGGTCAGCGCAGTTCATAGCAAGTGATCAAACTCCTGGTCTCCTGGTCGAACTCCCAAGGGGACACTTTGCATATCAGCCTTTTATATATATAGATATGTTTTCATTCCTTGCCCCTTACTTTCCTTAGAGCTGATAGTAACATTAGGACAGTCTCACTCCTGTTGTCATTTCCTTTGTCACTGAAAAGACCTGGAGCACAAATGTACAGGTGCCGCCCCCAAAGAGCACACACAGTTACTGTTCTCTGCTACTGTGTCTTCTGAGGCAGCTAACGTAAGGTGGACAGCAAACAGAAAATTAAATCATTGGGCCAAAAACGTGAAGGAAGCAGGAAGGCATAGTCATTAATGGAGTGGGCGTTGGCACCAGGCAGACCTCATCTGAATTTCCATCCTGCTGCTTTCTAGCTGTGCGGTGGCTAAGCCTCGGTTCCGCGTCTGTAAAATGGGGATAACAGTGCAGACCTCCTGAGACTGAGAATTATACGGGGTAATGCAAGGAAAGCAGACTGGCACACAGAAATCATCACAGCAGCAGGAGTCTTTTTTTTTTAAGTTAATAGACATTTACTTTGGGGCTTGGAGAAGTTCATCATTGGAGAAAAGAGTAGAAAAAGTCACGAACAGAATTCTACAAATGTCCAGACCCTAACCGCCCCTTCATCCATGCAGGGCAGTTCCTACACTCGTCTCTGGTCAGCTCTCCAGCTCACCGCCCCGTCTGCAGCACAAGGACAAGTGCCTCCGAAGGTGATGACCAGCCCAGGCAGCACCCATCCCCGCCGGCTCACAGCAGCTCTGGTGCCCTGCTTCCCACTGCTTTCAAAAATGCACGTCTCCATGTCTCAGAAGTCAGCTGTCACTGATCTGCTCGCCCACTCACCTTGCCCTGTAAAACCTTCTGGCAGCGAAGATTTCACCTCCTACATCCTGGTCGCCCGTTCAGAAGGTACCAGAGCCTTCGCCAGCCCTGCTCCTGCCTGGCACTTCCCAGGACTCCTTCCTGTAACGCCTGCCCCCATGGATCCTCGGCACGTCATTAAGCCGCTGCTCTCCTGTCTCAGCAACCTCTTCCAGTTCCACCTCTCTGTCCAGGCCTAGCCTCTCAGTCTGCCTGCCCCTCTACCACGAGCCTGTGCACCATCTTCCCCCGCGTACCCTGAGCTCAGTCCCACCTCCTCCTCTGCCAGGGACATCCACTGTCCCTGTCACTCCCCTTACATGACAATCTCCGCTCCTCCTCACTGTCCTCTCCATTCCCCCCCATCCCCCCACTCACCGCCAGTCTGGCTCCTGGTACCTCAGCCTGTCCATGAGACTCAGCGCCCACCGGTCTGGCCACGGCCAGCCTTTCCTGTTGTGAACTGTGCTAACCAACGGCTCGGAGCCCATCGCTCTGACTCCAAAACCTTCAACTGCTTTGCTCTGCCTAAAGGAAAAGCCCTTAGATTTCTGCTCTTTCATCTGACCACATGCACGCCTCCTAATTTGTGGCACGTGGGGGATCTTCTATGTCTCTTCAGTTAATCCGAGAGGCTCTGAGGCCCGGGGAACAACTTAATATTGAAGGGAAAATGCAGCTTGGTCAGGTCAGGGTGCAGTGACTTTAGCCGGTCACTCAAGAACGTCCACTAGTTACTAACACCCTCTGTACCTCCTGCAGGTGCCCTGGGACCCCCACATCTCCCTACAATCTAAAGCAGCAAGCAGGGGCCTCCCGAGCCCGGCTCAGTTTGGCAGACGGGTTGTTAAACATTGTGAGGGTCGCCCCTGCTAGGAGCACAGAAAGATGGCTGGAGAAGGCTCCACATTAACCAGGCACAACCACTTTTATAATTTTTAACTTATGTGCTGCCCAAAGTTTCCTGAAAGGTACTGTTAACAATAGGCAATAATTCTGACATAACGTCAGCAAGAAAAGATACACTCTGATGCTTACTACTCCTCTACTGCAGCCTTCCAGCTCATCTGGCCCAAAATGAGGTACAGGCCTGCAATGATGAAGATGCTTCTCTTGGAGTTCAAAGGCAAAGTCTTACCCATGGTTAAAAATACTGTAATATGAAGGCGGATTTTCATTTGGAAGCAAACTGTCTGCTCCAGGACTTCTGGTCACGGCAGAAGCTGAAGACTCAGGAAAGTAAGGAGGCGGAGGGGGCGGGAATATGATCACGGCATCACCTAAGGAGACACACAATGTTTTGTGGAAGATGGATAAGCAATAAGTGCAAACAAATTAGCAAGCGCAAAATAAATTGAGTACGGATTTGGCTCATCTATAGAAATAGTCACAACCCCTATGCCAACTACAGAATCAAAAAGTGGTTTGATCAGATTTAGAGACAGAAGGTAGAGGTTGCCAGGGGCTGGGGGTAGGGGGAGATGGAGTGAGTATTTAAGGGGTGCCAAGTTTCTGTTTGGGATGAGGAGAAACTTCTGGAAATTGAGAGTGGTGACAATTGTACAACATTGTGAATGTACTCAATGCCACCATACACTTAAAAACTGTCAACATGGTAAAATTTATATTATATGTATTTTACCACAATTTTTAAAAAATAGTAGGCCTTTCTCATTGTCTGAGCTAAAGCATTTCAGTGAAGCATTTTCTAACCGTGTGCCTCCCTTGGGATGTGTACAGCTTTAAAGTTTTTCTTGTCTTTAACTTACAATTTGTTTTCTTTTCTTTTTGTTTTATTGATTTCAGAGAGGAAGGGAGTGGGGGAGAGAGAGAGAAACATCAATGATGTGAGAGAATCATCGATCGGCTGCCTCCTGCACACTCCCCACCTGGAATCAAGCCCAAAACCTAGGCATGTGCCTTGACTGGGAATGGAACCGTGACCTCCTGGCTCATAGGTTGACACTCAACCACTAAACCACACCAGCTGGGCTTAACTTACATTTTTAATTCATCAAAAGTTAGTGTTGGATCAAGTGCCTTGTTCCTCAAATGCAGTTTCACCTCTGAACAGATTGGCTACCCTACGTCCCATCATTGGCATCGCGATAGCTGTGGTTTATGCTCTTGTAGAGTCTTTACCTGCCAATATTTCACCAGGCTTCACAAAACACAGTCAAACTTTGCAGCATTTCTAGCCAGGCACCTGTGTTTTGGGGAGGAGAACCGAGGGACCAGATGCAAGCTCTAAACTGCTTCCTCTCTGTGGAAGGAGCCGGGTTTGTGCTGGGCAGCAGATCTGATGCTTGCCTAGCTAAGGACAGGATTCTTTAGAGCTCCCGGGTCCCATTTGCCAGTTAACAACCCAGCATGGCCCTGAACAAGTTATTGAATCCCTCTAGGCCTCAGCTGCCACATCTGTCAATTGTAGGCCATCACTGAACCTGCCTCAGGGCAGGTAGGAGAAGTGGATTCACGGGCAGCCATTAAAACAGTGCTGGGCAAAGAGCAAACCCTCTCAGCTGTCCCACGCCCTCAGCCCTCACAGCTGCTTTCTTCACACTGCGCCAGCATGTGGCACTTATTTGCATGTCTGGAGAAACACTCCCAACTGGCAGTCCTGGCCAGTGGTTCCACTCTGCCCCTTGGGCGTGAACTCCACCGCTCCTAGCTGTTGGAGCTTACCTTGCTAATCTAAATTGATAAAGCATAATGCTTGGCTTTTCATTTTCTTCAGGGTAGGTCAGAGGAAGTTAAGGTTAAGTGTTCGCTTTAATTACACATTGTAGGACATAGGACTTGGGAATAAGCCTCTAAAGCAGGCCACTCACCTATCAAACATCAAACACCAACAAGGAAATGTGCAAAGTCAACAGTTATCTCTGGGCTTGTCCATCTGCCAGTCAGCTCCCAGCCTCCCACACTCACAATCTGCTCTCAACAGGAAAAAAGTCTCCCTCAACCCCCCGGGGCTTCCCTGTCACTAGGCCCTGTAGGACTTGGTGTCCTCCATGACTTGGCATCATACCCGTCAGGGAGGGCTGTCTCCCATACCTGCTGCGTGCCCAGGTCCAGCACTGAGTATGTTTATCTACCAGCGGGTGTAGGGGGAACAGCTGAATTCTGGGGCTGAGCCAAGAACTGCCTCTTATCACCCCAGTTTCCCTCATAAGGCAGAACTGACCATTAGAGACAATGTCCAGAGTCTTATCAATTGTACTAAAAGTCTTGATTTCTAAAAATGTAAACCCCATGCCATAATATAAAGGAGAGAAAAACAAGGAGTTAGGGTGCCCGATTTTCACAGGCTTGATGAGATTTAAAGGGTTAAGTAGAAAAGATTTTAAGATTTTAAACTATGCAGTGCCGACAGCAGGATAGAACTGCCCAGGGGTTAGAACCACGCAACCCACTGCCCCCCACATTCCAGCCACCAGGACAGAGGCTGCCCCCAAACTCTCCTAATAGCATATCCAAAGGGCACACCTCAAAATGTCCCCCCAACTAAGTGAACACTGAGCATCCCATGAGGGTGTTCTCATGGACCCCACTGTGCTCCCCGAAAGGACTGAGACCATCTATATTGGGTGAGCCCTTTTGTCATGTGACAACTACCCAGAACCCAGGTGAAGACAAAACCAGCAGAAACAGAACTCCAGCCCCGTGCAATGCAAGGGCCATAGTATATGAGTGCCCACCCGCCTGGGTTTGGATCCTGGCTCTGCCGCTTGCTACTTTGCGATCTTGAGCAAATTACTTAACATCCCTGGGCCTTCGTTTCTTCATCTCTAACATGGAGATACTAAGAGTATCTGCCTCAGTTGGTCCTTGGGGAAGTGAAGGCATTTCACACAATAGGCCCTTGAAGAACATTAAGATGCGTGTTTAGCACAGGAGTAAACTTGACATATGTGTTAGCTGTTATTAATAGATAACTAATATTTGTGTTGTCACCATAGTATATAAATACACAATGAAATAAGCTGGGAGCATCAACCCTGGCTCAATGCAAGGATTGTCTGTAAGTCCATCTGCCCTTCCTCTCTGAGGCTGGTGCCCTGCAGGGCCCGCAGCCCAGGGACCGCCCAGTCTCTGCTGGGAGCACTGCTGGCTCTGTAGACAGCCCCGGACACAAGGAGCCTCTCACTCGCCACTCTCCTCCTCTGTTCCCTCCATGGTTTCTGCTCTGCGATTCTCCTTGCTTAGCCTTTTAGAGGTCAAGGATGTGGCTTCAGAGCTTTCTAAAGGAGACTGGGGGGAAAACCGCAGTACAGTAATTTGCAAAAACGAGTAGCAATAGGTTTTTTCTTGGTTGTGTGAAGCTGAGGCCAAAGTTACTGACATTGTTCTTGGGGGGGGGGGGGGTGTGACCCTGGGAAATGGTAAGCCATCTATTCAGCAGAATCAAGGGACCCAAAAGGAACTCCTAGGCATTCCATGGGGGAAAGAAGGGACAGGTGTTGCCACATTTCATCTTCATTTATGCCACTGCTTCCCAACTTTGCCCTAATCCTGAAGTTACAGAAAATAAAGAACAATGCAGAAAACAGAAGGCCTCTCAAAACATAGAAGACCGGTGGACTTGGGACAGATTCAGAATCCTGGAAAGTCAGTGCTGGAAGGAATCTTAGAAATGCTCACTTTATGGATATATAAACGGGATGCGAACTCATGTGTCCAGCAATGCGAAGTGCCACAGGTTTTAGTGTGAGAATAACAGGGGGAGGAGGGTCACTTGGCAGGTCCCTAAGGTGAGAGGACTTGCAGGCTGTCCTTGAGATTCTTTCCACTTTCCTCTAAATTTGCTCTGTGACATTACTCAAGGTTACCACTTAATGTCCCAAAGCATTTGCTAAATAATATGGAATTCCTGGGGCAAAATGATGTATACAAGGACTTCTATGGGGCCTACCATAGCAGCAGCACTGTGTGTGTGTGTGTGTGTGTGTGTGTGTGTGTGTGAGAGAGAGAGAGAGAGAGAGAGAGAGAGAGAGAGAGAGAGAGAGAGAACCTAGGCCAGGCCCAGGGAAGCCTTGATGAACAGCCACTGTGATGTGAGCACGCACAGGAATGAAGCCACGCACCTACAGTGACCTGCACAGGCTCCGTGTTCTGGGTCTGTCTCTCTTCGCTTTCAGAGGCATTCTGGCCCTCGTTCAAGTTGTTTCTCTTCTTAACATGGGCGACCACGAAGAAACACAGTCCCATGAGCACAATCAAGGGTCCCATGATCTGCAGGGACAGGAATCCACAGATCTGGGGCTCCTCGTCGGCAGTGTCTGTCTCATTCAGTGGTTCCTGCTCCCAGTCTGAGCCACAGCCAGGGACCCAAATGCCCAATATGCTGATGAGCATGCCGCTGGTCAAGAACAGAAATCCAAAGATGAGGCACTGGGCAAACTGGCGGCTCTCTCCGCAGATGAAGGGCCGGTCGGAGTCCGCCCGGTTGCCCCGACAGCGCCCCTGCCGGAACTGAAGGAGTGCCCGGGAGCGGGCCAGGATCACGGCCCCGAGCCCAACTGCGGCACACGCGGGCCCAGCGACCTTCAGCACCAGGCTGCAATCTGGGTGGGGTTTGTATTGGCATGCCTGGAACCCAAAGATGGAGAGCAGGACCCCCACAAACAGCAGGATGGCACCAAAGACGAAAAGGAAGAAGATGAGCATGCTGACATGCCTGTCTCGCTGGACCCCATCTGGTTCAGCTGCTGCAGGAGACATGGCCAGAAGGGGCCCCTCCCCGGAGAGGGGTGGGCTGTGTTACCTTCCCTCCAGTGGCTTCAACAGCCCTGCAAACAGAACCACACACCAAATTAAAGCGGGCACAGGTGTCCCTCACCCACCCTGTTCTTTTGCTGGCCATTTCAGAAGTCACACCAAGATGAACTCATGGGGAATAGAACTTCACCCCACTGCTACACTGTAGAACAATGAGTTGGTTTATGAGTCAGAAGGACGGGCATTCAGAAACTCCTGAATATTTAATTTTATGAAGATATTCAAGAAGAAGAAATGCAATTACCATGCACCTAAGAGTATCTCTAAAAAAAAAAACAAAAAACAAACAAACAAACAAAAAACTCCTTATGGGGATGTAAAGTACAGCATAGGGAATATAGTCAATAATATTATAATAACCATGTATGATGTAAGGGGGGTACTAGACTTATCGGGGGTCACTTCATAAGCTATTTAAATGTCTACACTGTACACTTGAAACTAATATAATATTGAATATCAACTGTAATTAAAAAACTTCTTTTAATTTTAATAAAATTCTTTAAAACCCATATAGCAAAAGTAACCGGGTGTGGCTTTTCCTGTTCTGAGTCTTACAAACTCACTCACCCAGGCAAACAAACAATGGCGAGTGAGGGAAGAACCACAGGGATTATTGTTGATTTACAGACATCCCACATTTCATCACAGCTGCTCTGAGCATTTCCACGCCGGTAAATTTTTGTTCAGTCACTAACTTTCCATTTCCTGTTTTAGACCCGCAGCAACTTTCCATTCCGTGCTTCATGCTAAGGCTACATCTCCAGGACAGCCAAGTTCAGCAGTGTCAATGGACTGGGAAGGCAGTGCAGGAACGCAGCGAGTTTGGTGGGTATTAAGTTAATTCTGTCAAAATGTGATGCTCGAGTTCTCACTCGGGGGCTTCCTGGGCCTGAAATCTGGCGGCCTGGCTGCGTGGGCCTGGGAGGAACCCAGGGAGCGTGGCCCAGCCGGGGGCGGGGTGGAGCCCTGTCTCACAGGTGGCTGGGCAGCCTCACGCTCACCCTCCTTCATGGTGCCACCCACTTCCACAAAGAGGCTTAGGCTGTTAAAAATAAGCAGCTGATAAAATCACCAGTTAAACAGCAATAGAACCTGACTTTGAAAGAAGAGTACAAGTGAGTCAAGTGGGAAAGCACTTTCCCCAAGATCACCCCAGCCCTGCGCTTCAAGGGTATCTCGTATTGAGTATCGGGAGCAGTGGTTGAAGAGTGGTCTGGTTTACGCAGGCTGACTGCTATCCAGTTATCTTGTTTGCTCTAGTGAATGGGATATTCAAGTCGGGGCGCTCGAAAGGACAATCCGAGGGTGAAGACTGTCCTCACTGCTCACGGGAAGAAAACCTTTTAAAATAGCTGTGCCACCTGCATCCGTGGTCACACGAAGGAGCTCAAGCCCGCGGCTCTGAAACCAAGGCCATCTGACAAACCCAAATCATGACCAAATGGGGTCAGGTCAGGTAAGGAAAGCAAACGGACTGTCTTCCACGAGGAAGTAATTTTCCAGGAAAAATATGATAGAATCAAAAGGAAGCTGAAGGAAGAAGGCGATGTATGTTTTCATTGTTAGACTTGGAAGAACTATTTATGACGATGCAGTTAAGCTGAGACAAAGACTTAAAGTATTGCACTATTTTTTTAAAATTTCTGAATCATGTAATCCCTTTTGCTGGTCCCAGAGATGAGGGTGCGTCTCTGCTACAAAGTCCTATCAGGAATTCACTGTATTCCTGACACCTTCAAATTTGGAGTGAGTGACAAGGCTTCAACCGTATAGCAGTGGTTCTCAACCTTCCTCACGCCGCGACCCTTTAATACAGTTCCTCATGTTGTGGTGACCCCCAATTTCACTGTTACAAATTGAACATAATTAAAGCATAGTGATTAATCACAAAAACAATATGTAATTATATATGTGTTTTCCGATGGTCTTAGGCGACCCCCAAAGGGGTCGCGACCCACAGGTTGAGAACCACTGGGACTCTACAGGCAAATTCCCAAACACCAGTGAAGAAAACAGAAGCCCCATGTGGACTTGTACCCTCTTCCCAGGGCCTAGTGGATCAAGGACCTGCATCGGTGCTCATCCCTGATGCAGAACAGTGTGTGGGTAGTGGGGTCAGTCAGTCTGTCTATTCTCTCTCGCACATGAACCCACGATCGGACACATAGACGAATAGACAATTAAGCCTTTTCTAAACACCAACCTACCCCTAATTTCCCACAGCCAAATTCGCCTCCCTCACACTGTCCGTGTTCCAAAGGACATTTCCAGATCAGCAGCGCCTAACTACATCCAACGCTCGGGTGTGTTTGGGGATCCAGGCAGGAGAGGCAAGTGTCTTTTACGGGAAATAGCTCCGTGGGTTTTAGGGAGCCTGTGTTCGCGTCTCCCCGGGAAAGGTTAGTGCGGGATCCTCGGCGCTGGCGCCGCTCTGCGCACCCCGCCTCGGCGCAAACCCTGGGGCGCGAGAGGCGCGGCAGGGCCGGAGCCGCTTACCTGCGACTGGGTCCTGCGTGCGCGCTGCCTGCTCCGGGGCGCTTCTCGGAGCCCGGCTCTGCCTCGGGTTGGGCTCTCGGCGGTGCCGCACCGCACACTCCACCTGCGGGTCCCGGCGCGGAGGGCGGGCCGCCACTGTATTTACTGGAGGAGGCGGTGCCAGGAGGCGCGGCGGCCGGGCGGCGGGCAGGGCAGGGCGGACTGGCGGGAGCTGGCTGCCACCGGGGTGCTTCCCTTCGGGGCCGAAGGCGCCCAAACCTGGGAATGCAGAGCGAAGGTCCGCCGGCCCTGGCCGCTCCCGCGCCCGTGACCGTGGGCACGAGGGATCCGAGAAAAACCCCTCGGGGAGTCGGGGCGGCGATTGGAGGTCTCCTCCTGGCTGGCCGAGCGGCGCTGCGCCAGCCGAGATCCCGCAGCGGGAAGGGAGCGCGTTTCCTTCGGGGCTGGGTTCCAGGGTTCGGGGAGGGGGCGTGAGAAAGGGAAGCGTCTTCCCCTACCGCGTGGGCTCCCCGCCTTCCCGCCGCTGCGCCCCCCACCACCGCGCGGCTTGGGGAGGGTCCGCCCAGTGTCCTGCCGTTCGGCAAGCTTTGCCTTTGGGTCACGGGAGCAAGTCCTCGCCGAGAGCTCCCCGACGAACAGGCTATGGAGGTGCCAGCTCACAGAAACGCACGCGCCATTAGAAGGTGAGCCCGAGGTCCTCCTGGCCGAGGCGGTCAGACGTGAGGTCCTCGCTCGCAGCCTGGAGCGGGCCCCTGGCGGCCTCCGTGCCCTTCCTCTCCCAGGTGTGCTCACAGCCCGCCTGGGCCCCGGAGCCCCCTTCCCAGTTCCCAATCGCTAATGACCTGCTGGAATTAAACTGGTAACTTTCCCTGCCCTTGAACCAGAAGTTTCAGGATGGGTTTGCTAATCCCCGTGCTATTTGTAACCTGCCCCGTGACACGTGACTCGGATTCAGCGGTGCCAGTTTCCACCCCAGAGGTCAGGGCGCTGGGGAAGGTGAGTAAAGGGCCCAGCCCAGGCTCCAGGAGCCCTGGGGACTTCCCCATCACCCCCACCCCCTTCTCCCCAGCTCCCCGTCCACTTTGCCCGACACCCAGTCACAGGTTCACACCAATTGCATTAACCTTTTGAAAGTACAAACACCTAGCAGACCTAACATAGCAAGTTGTTCCCAGTAGTTCTCACTGAGGGTCAAGAATGTTACAGAGGTGAGGAGAGTCTCCAGGAAGGGGTCAGAGGGAGGCAAAGAGGGGCGCTGTTAGCCGGGCTCTGAGGCCTGGACCCCTGGGTGGTAAGAGGAGGCTTTCCCAGGGAGGCATCCGGACAAGTGACAGCTTTGGAATGTGCTGGGGGCACTTGCCTCAGGGGGGGGGGGGCCTTTCCCACAGTTAAGTGCTCTGGCCTCTGCAAATCTCTGCCCTGAGGGAAGAACGTTGGCTATGACTCTAGTGAAGGATCCTAACCTCCTGACCCCGTGCACCTGCCAGGTTCCGCGTTCCCCCTTTACCTGCAGCCTGTGGCTCGTTACAGGCCTCAGAGAAGGTTGGAGCCCGAAGGCAGCAGGTGAACTAAAACAGCCATTTTTCATCTGAGAAAACTGAGACCTAAAGACAGAAACTTAGTCCACAGCTGGTTAATGTGAGCCCCGTGGACTGACCCTTCATTGGTTCCTCTGTCACCCATTGTACACCTGTCACCCAGAGGACACACAATGCCACAAACTCAAAAAAGGGCATTTTATTATGTGGCTTTTCGATCATTGTAACAATACAGATACTGTAGCCCAAGGACATTGCGGCAATCTGCGTGGAGGGTGGAGATAACTCTGGTCAAAGTGTCAGGATATACCCGCTTCGGGAAGGGCCTCAGAGTACACCTGGCTAACCAGCAGGTAACCAGCCGCGGTGACTGCACAGCAGCAGCAGCACTGGCCTCTCACGCGGGCCTGCAAACCACTCCTGGTACCAGAGCCTCTCTAGCTCTTCCTTCCTTGTTTTTCCCCTCTCCCTCATTTAAAACTCAGTCTCTAGTGGAGTTGTGTGCGGACCTGCAAGGGGCCTGTTGATACAGCTGCCCCTCTGGTGCCACATGACTGCGGGCTGGCCACACATGACAGACTCGAATGTACTGGCATCAAGGACAATCAGATTAGCTTCCACCTGGAGTATCTGCGGCTTGGACTGCTTGTGTCTTTTGGAGCCCGCTTGACAAAATTAAATTCCGTGGAATCCAGTCATGGGTCAAGTAGGAAAGACATACCCACCAGCCTTCGAGGTGCTTGTCTCAGGAGCAGACCTATTCTTAGGAAAGAGAAGGCATGACCCTGTCACTACCTAAAACCAAGAGGCCTTTTCCTGCCTGGGTGGTTGTGAACAAAAGATAAGCCCAGACAAATCCTTCGAAAAGTAGCCTCAGCACACGCTTTTAAAAATGGGTGAACCTTGAATTCAGGAAGTAAAGACAGAGAGTTAAGCCAAGGCAAGCATTCATTTATTCACTCAGCAAGTATTTGAGTGCTGACCATGTGCCAATAAACAAAACAGAAAAAATCCTTTGCCCAGGTGGAACCTATAATTTAAGAAGGAGAAAGGCAATAAAAGAAACACGTAAGTTACACAGAGTATTAGAAAGCCCAGAGGGCAGCTGGGAGATTTCAGCTGCAATAGGGCGGGTGGTTAAGGAAGGCGGCTCCCAGAAGGTGACATTGCAGCCAAACTTGAAGGGAATGAGGAAGCAAGCATATTGATAAACCATTATTGCATAACAAATTACCACCGAATTTAGAAGCTTAAAACAACTATGATTTATTCTCTCGGTTCCTGAGGGTCAGAATCTGTGACTATGAATCAAGACAGGGAAGACTGAGGGCAGGCCAAGTTGGAGGAGGAGGTTTCGGAGTTCAGTTTGGGGCATGTACTAGAAGCTGGGTGGTTCTGGCCCGGGGTCTCTGAATCAAGCAGTTGGCTAGGGCGCATCTACATGCCCAACTGCTGGCTCCAAGGTGACTCACTCCTTGGCTGTGGGTAGAGGCCTCAGTTTCTCGCCATGTGGACCTGCCCACAGAGCAGCCTGAATGTCCTCAGGACATGGCAGCTGGCTTCCCCTGGAGTGAGTGAACCAAGAGAAAGCAAATGAGGTGGACACGGCAGAGCCTCTTGTGACGTAGTCCCTGAAGCCCCACGCCACCACTGCTACTACATTCTATTCCCGGGAACTGAGTCACTCAGGCAAGGCATTAGGCTCCACCTCTTGAGGGGGAGAGGGGAGTATCAAAGAATTTGATATATTTTAAAACTATGAATTTGAACATATTTTGAAACTATTACAGAAAAATACAATGACATTGGTGGGAAGAAGGAAAGAGCCCTGCCAGAGAGGAAACAGCAAATGCAAAGGCCCTGGGGTAGGAACAGGTGTATTCAACGAAGAACAAGAGGCCAGGTGCATGGGGCAGGTGAGCAAAGGGAGGGGAGTAGGAAAGGGGATCAGGGAGAGAAAGTGTGTGTGTGGCCATGCTCACCAGACTGAGTGGGGCTTTGTCGTGGGGTGGGCCGTTGTACTTGAGATGGGAAGCTTTGGAGGGTTGGGGGTTGGTTTTGTTTTGTTTTTAGCAGAGTGTGATATGAGCTGACTTATTTAAAAAAAAACACACACAAAAAAAAACTACAGTGGCTTCTGGGTGAGAATAGCCTGAGGAGGAGGAAGGGTAGAGGGGAGGAGACCATTTAGGAATCTATTGTGATAAGCCAGGAGAGAGAGGGCTGTGGCTAGTGTTTGAAGGTGATAAACGATTGGATTCCCCTGTGCTGGTATATCTCAAAGATAGAGTCCACAGGATTTCCCATGGACTGGATGTAGGTTTTTACTCCAAGGTTTTTGGCCTGAGGACATGGGAAGATGGTTCTGGCGTTGACCAAGATGGGGAAGACTGAGGGCAGGCCAAGTTGGAGGGGGATGATTGAGAGTTCAGTTTGGGGCATGTTAACCCTGCGATGTCCATTAGACATCTGAGTGAAGTTGAGTAGGTGAGTGAATATACATGCCTGGAGTTCAGGAACTCTGGAAGGAGTACTTCGCTGTGGTCTGTCAGTGATGTTTATTACAAAATCAGGAAGGCTGGCCCCTCCTCTGGAAGAGCTGACACGTGCCTACGTGGCTACACCTGCCTCTGAGGCCTCCAAGAAGGCACAAAGCAAGGGCAGACTGGTGCCAACCGATGCGGGGGTTCAGGAGTTTCCAGGGCAGAGGGGCAGCACCGCTGGGAGGGATGGGCTTCTGCCGGGGCAGGGCCTCCTGCTCCTCTGCTTCTTCCCTCCCTCAGCGCTGGCCCCGTGGCACTCCCCAGGCACTGCCAACCTGGAAAAGAAGTTCTGGGCAAGTGGTGTGCTGGGGCTTGTAAAATACCTATCACCATTTTTTCAGAATTCACAAGATTACAGAAAGACAGTCAGTCATTAAGTCTGCCAGCCTCTAGTTTCTCTTTTGGTCTCTCACTGGTCCTGCCCCCTTCACCCCAGCACCCGGAGCATGCTTTCCGCTCCTCCAATTCCGGACATTTGCTGAGACCGCACAGGGGCTGGGGTACAGCAATCTGCTCTCCAGTGCTCAGTCTTGGGTTAGCATCTCAGCTAATCTTCCCAGGACCGCCAGCAATGCCCGCGAACCTAGCTGGGCCCCATCTGGCTGCCTACTCCTGCAACGGGTGCTGGGGTGAGGGGCGGCCAGGGCTCCTGGAGCATGTTCCTCCTCCCACCCTGTGTTGGACTTAGACCCAGGGGCCTGAGACACATGTCCAGAGTAAGATTGATTTGACAGGCTTGAGTTGAGGGTGTAGATTTGACCCCTTAGCTGACGCCCAGTGCAAAGACTAATCTTTTGCAGTCATTTTATTGCCTGGGATGGTGCAGTTGTTTTTGCAAGCTTTGTAAATAGCTTGAGTGCAGCTGGCTGGAGCCAGGGGTAGTGGATGCAAGGAGTTGTTTCAGAGAGAGTGAGGTTTTGCCTGGAGCTCACATGGTCTCATTGGTAGAGGCCTCCGCGTGGCCGAGGGAGTTACCACTTCCACAGCGGCACCAGCATCTGGGCAGCAGGCTCGAGGAGACCATGTTGGTAGTAAGAGTTTACAGAAATGTAGTGACCTCCTGGCATCTTGTGTTGGATTCATCGAACACCTACCACTAAATGGGCCCCAAGGAATAAATTATTTCTCTACAGCGTGTAACACAGGGACGAGACAGACCTGAGTTCAGAACCTGGCTTTGTCACCAGCTGTGTGACCTCGGCCAGGGAAACGACTTCTCTGTGCCTCGTTGTGCTCATCTGGAGCATGGGGCTCCGCAGACCCACCTCGAAGGACGTCTTGAGGGTACATTCCTGGCGCGTGGCGGGCCCTGATTAGTGTGTTTCTCTTCGGCCCCTGGCTGCTCACCTCATCTTCCATCTGTGGCTCCTCCCCTTCAGGAAGGTGGACCTGAGGAGTCCACGGAGAAAGTCAAGAAGAGGGAGCTCGGGATTCTCGGTGAGAACAGAACGAGGCGTGTTGACTTCTAGTGCTCAGCTGGCCATGCTTGGAGCCACTGCCAGCACACCTGGCTTCTCCCTGCAGCGTGTTCCCCAGATGTTCCTAGGCATCCTCAAAGGTGTGGATCACATGATTGCAAAAACTTGCTGTCCCAGTGGTTACACTGTGTTACTTCCTTCTCCTTCTGCTCCTCCCCCGCCTGCAGCCACCAAAACTGTGAGGCGCCTGGCTGTTGCCGGTGTCTGGAGAGGTATGTGAGGCCAGTCAGCAGCCCGGGTTCAGGGCTCCGCCTGCCTCACCTATTCTGGTTTCACCTGCCTGCCTTTACCCCATCACTTCCCCCTGGGTTCTGGCCCCGTACTTCCTGGTTGACACTTACGATTCCAAAAAGGATTCAAGTCAGCTTACAGTGCTTCTGAAATACAGCAAGGTGAAATAATTATAAAAGTAAGTGAGAAAAAGAAAGAAAAAAGAAACAAAAGGTTGACAGCATTTCCTACCTCGTTCAAACAGCTTGCTGGTAGTGTGCAGGGTGGGGTAAAAACATTTTTGACCTTATCCAGACAGGTAACTCACCTGTTTTAGGATCAGATGTGGTAACCTAAGACACTTGGAGATGGCTCTCAAAATGGCCCGACCCAGACACCTGGGGCTGCTGTGGGGACCTCCGCGCCTGGCTGGGGGCCTGGTGGGCGGGTGCAGCCTCAGCGGGTGGCACTGGTCATCTCCTCATGCTCACACACTCGGCTCCTCTCACAGCAACCGCTGGCCTAAAAAGTGAAGCAACAAGAGCCTGAACACCTGAGAGCCGAGAGCCTGATAGATTAAAGGCGGTTTGGCAGGGAGCCACCTCCTGTTTGCCCCAGATTTTAACAAAAGGCGCCTTGTCGCAGCCGCGGAATGCAGGTGAAGCCAGGGCTCGGGGCAGGGCTGGTTGAGAAAGAAGAAAAAGAAAACTCCTTTTGGGCTTTTTCTTGCTAACCTACCTCACAGGGTTATGGAAAGGATTACATGAATACAGAAAGTCTTGCTGAGATTTGTGCCCGGATGCAATTCTCGGAGAAATATTTTATCCTAAATAATGGCAGCAGGTAAGCCCTCCATAAAACCTCCCGTGTGCTTTTGGTGATGTACACGTCTCACTCGTTTGCATTTCATAACAAGCCCAAGAGGTAAGTACTGCTGCGGCCCATGTTGCAGGCACACGGAGGGGCGGGCGGCTGGGCCGAACCTGGCCAGGCTGCAGCCGGGCTGCCTGGGAAGCACCAAGCCTCGCCCCTTTTTCACTGCACGTGGGAGAGAGCGATGGCTCTTTATCCAATGTCAGTTTAGAGTCATTCAAGGGCAAGCTAACAAACTCCCATTCACTCTTTAATTCTCCAATTAAATGTCAATTCCCCAGAGAGACCTCCTAATCTAAATAAGCCCTGGCCTGCCCCCCTCACTCCCGTTATTTTCAGAGTACCTGGCATTTTTCACGCAGGGCACTAATCATACGCATAGTTACTCATCAGCCCTTTGAGACCACTTCTGTCCCACCTTTGCTGTTTAAACCACTGTGTCACCCTCTGCCCTTCCTGTCGCTATCATCAGTGACCTCCCAGATCTCCCATCGCCCAGCTCGGGTTTTGGCACCTGGGGCTCAAGTCTCTTCTATTTCAAACCCTGCCTTAATCTTGGATGCCTTCAACCTCACAGGGATGACCCAGCCGACACCCGGCCTTCTCCTCTGCAAGTCCTTCCCCTCCGTCCACCTCAGCTGGCCCCTCCCCCAGTTCAATCTGGACCAGCCGTGACCTGAAACGGCTCCTCCTGCAAGAGCAGGAATTGGAGCATCTTCTTCTATCTCGTTCATCTAACCGTTCCTGCCTCGACGATCCTTGACTCCCAACTGGACCCTTCGCTTGCACCAGTCGACTTTCATCCCCTTTCTTCACTTCCTTCTTGTGTAGTTTAGATTCTAAGCCAGGGGAATTGGGGAAAGTGCCCGGGGAGCCCCCGCAGCCTCCCAGGCAGTCAGTGCCACCACTATCTGCACAGTGTCTGGACGCTGGTGGACTGTGTCCATACGTGCCCGTGGCCTCTGGGGGCTGGGGAAGAGGGGGGGTGCTCCTGATCCGCTTCTGCTGGCTCAGCTAGGAGGCTTGACCAGGTAGAAAACATAGCGACTTCAGCGAAGAACATTCTCTGCTGATAGGTTGGGTGTGTGTCTATCAGACGCTGCTATCTCACTAGTTGGGAGATGGGACAATATAATCGGCTCATATTTCTGATATTCCTGGCTAGCCAACTGTGCTGTTTATGACTGCAGCCAGGAGGACTGAAAGATAGAAAAAAGCATCTTGAAAATAATTGTACAACTTCACAGTTTATTGGTAAACTTGACTTCCCATCACCAACTCCAGAGTTGCAATGAGTTTTATTTCCACCCAATCTTTATTACTCAAAAGAAAAGTCTACCCTCAAATCTCTATAGTGTTTGTAATTAGACCCATTTCTCTCAACATCCAAGAATTGAAAGATACCAAAGAAAGGTACCCATTTACAACACAAATCATAATGGATTAAATAAAGATACAGCCACATTCAAAGAGAGTATATGTGTATATGAGGTGGGTTTCCCATCAGGTAAATTCTTAGAGATGCAGTAGCTGGCTATTAAGTGATATGTTTAACTCTGAACTATTCCAAGGGAGGCTGATGAATATTACATCCAAGTCCTCTGAGTAGGACATCACTATTTGTAATCGCAGTGGAGACAGCAGTGCAGGGGCTAAAACCCATAGAATGAACAGGGTGGCCAGGTCAGTGAACCGTGACCAGAGGAGAGACCCTAGTGCAGGGGTGGGCAACCCCTGGCACGCCAGTAACTTTCGCTGGCAAGCGAAACCCTCTCTTATAATCTTCCATTTACAATTTTTTCTTAATATCGACTTTTTTATTTTTCAGATAAATTCAGTGTAGGTGCATCTCAGTGTAGGTGCATCTTAGATAAATAAATAATTTGACATAACAAGTTATCTTAAAGACCATAGACATGGATTAACGATGCCTCTGCCTTAACTCTCCCTGCCTTCCTAGATCTGACCAGTGCTTTGGTTTCATCCACATACGCTTGTGAATCTTTGTTCTCAGTGATGAATTTTGTTAAGTCTCGTAACAGGAGTAGCCTGACAGATGAAAGTAGTAGCTCGTGCATATCTCTGAAGGTCACGAAATATAAACCTGATGTAAAATCTCTGTCATCAGTGATGCCGCAGCAAAAGTCCCACTGATAATATCAAACGGAGTCATAAAGTTTTCTGTCGGACTATCAGTGTACATGTATACATTAAAAAATAAATGTATTTTTCATCATCATATACTGTGTTTTTGTTGCTCGAATGAATTTTATTATTTCTTCAAGGTTCTTCACATACGTACACCTTAAGAGATATCAAGTAGGCGTAACATGTTCTCAAAAAATTAGGGATGGCACGCAGAAGAATTTTGAGTCAGAGATTTTGCTGGTTTTGGCACGCACTCACAAAAAGGTTGCCTACCCCTGCCCTAGTGTATCTTCAGAGAGGTGGGCTTTGTGAAGGAAGGAAAAGGAAAGGCCTAAAAATACCGGCCCTCAGAGCATGGGCCCCGGTGTGGTGTGGGGAGAAGTAGCCGCACAGGCCACATCCAAGTGAGCCCGTTCCCCACATGCCTCCCCGCCCCCACAGCAGTTGCTGCTCATGGCCCCGCAGGCAGGGCAAGCGCTCTCTTCCCATCCATCCTTCCTGCGACCCGAGGCCAGGTCTGCTGGATGAGAAAGCTCTGCTGGATGGGAAAGCGAGTGAGCCTGACGCCCGCCCGCCCGGGGCTGCTTCCTCGGAGGGGGACCTGGGCCTGGGCCCCTACAGCTGGCTCGCGGTGCCAGGTGGATGGTGGCTCTACCCACAGACCTCGAGGAGGAAGTTGCTGAGGCCACATCTGAGCGATTTTGGCTGATGACGGGGAACATGTCTACACAGGGCAGGCCAAGTCAGGCCCACAGGAGCCACGGGGAAAGCGGTGGCCTCCCCTTGCTGGGAGGGACCTAATAACGGGGCAGCGCGTCCCCGGCCCGATAGGGGATGTTTCCAAGTGTAGGGGGCGGTGGGGCTTAGCAGCACACACTGCAATGACAGGATGGGGCTACCCTCCCGGGCCCTGGCCTGCGGAAGGGTCTGCGTAGGCAAGGAGGGGCCTGCTCTCCTCAGCTCCCCTTAACCTGCTTTGATCTTTCTGGCATTTTCCTTTTAGGAGACACGTTCGTTTCCCACGTGAAAGCCCTTTAGCGGATGCAGCTGGGGAGCATCAGCTACACGTGTGAGCGTGGGTTCTCCTCGGGGCCAATAAAAGGAACTTGGACGGGGACCCAGAAGGCCCAAATCTCGTCCAGCCCCGAGCGGAGCCAGGCTACTTCTTTCTTCTTCTGCCTCGGCTTCCCCATCTGCACCACGGAGTGACAGTGCTTTCCCTGCCTGCCCACCCGGGGGCCACGGGAGAGAGGAGCCTCCTGGTGCAGGAGGAGCGCTCAGGGGCCAGGAGGCCTGGAGCTGAGCCAGGCGAACCCACGCGTGGGCCTCCGTGTTGTGGGCCGAGGACTTGAACTCGTGTGAGGGAAGGACCGGGGCACGGTCGTGCTGGCCTCGCACAGAAGAGCGGAGCCTCTGAAGGAACCCCGGGCCCCACTCCACCGCGGACGCCCAGGGCTGGAGTAGGAAGGGCCCGGCCCGGGTGTAGAAAGTCTATTTTCAGCCTAAAACCCTTCCTCAAGCTCCGCCGTGCCCGGAAAGCCCAGTGTGTGAAACAAAGATGGGGCTGGACTTGCGAGCACAGCCTGCTCTCGGGGCCCACCTGGCCTGGTCTGTGGACCCCACCGGGCCTGGTCTGTGGACCCCACCTGGCCTGGTCTGTGGACCCCACCTGGCCTGCTCTGTGGACCCCGCCTGGCCTGGTCTGTGGACCCCACCTGGCCTGCTCTGTGGACCCCACCTGGCCTGGTCTGTGGACCCCGCCTGGCCTGCTCTGTGGACCCCACCTGGCCTGCTCTGTGGACCCCGCCTGGCCTGCTCTGTGGACCCCACCTGGCCTGCTCTGTGGACCCCACCTGGCCTGCTCTGTGGACCCCGCCTGGCCTGCTCTGTGGGCCCCACCTGGCCTGGACTGTGGACCCCGCCTGGCCTGCTCTGTGGGCCCCATCGGGCCTGGTCTGCGGACCCCATCGGGCCTGGTCTGCGGACCCCATCGGGCCTGGTCTGTGGACCCCATCGGGCCTGGTCTGCGGACCCCATCGGGCCTGGTCTGTGGACCCCACCTGGCCTGCTCTGTGGACCCCATCGGGCCTGCTGTGTGGACCCCGCCTGGCCTGCTCTGTGGACCCCACCTGGCCTGCTCTGTGGACCCCGCCTGGCCTGGTCTGTGGACCCCACCTGGCCTGGTCTGTGGACCCCATCGGGCCTGCTCTTTCTATTGCGCACGAGGAAACAGGCCCGGAGAAACCGTGTGCGGGCAGGGCCACACAGCTGGCCCCCGAAAAAGCCAGTCCAAAATGGGAACTGTCCAGAGGTCTTCTCCGGCGCTGAAGGTACATTTCAGGACGAGCCAGAAGTGGGAAGACGACAGAGAAGGCAGCCCAAGGTAAGCAAGAAGGGTTGAGGGAACCCCCCTCAGCCCCAGCCCCGGGGACAAGCTCCTGAGGGAGGACTGAGTCCACCTGTTCCCAAGGAAGAGGGGAAAGGGAGGTCCGTGGGACAAGGGGGTGGGGAGTCTGGAAAGGGGTTAAGTCCTTTGAAATGGGGTTGGTAGCAGAAAGCTCAACTTTCTTCACAGCAACTCTGCCACGGAGGGGAAAGCTCCAGGACCCCTTCAAAGTGAGGGTTCCAGTAAGTGTAGGGGTCCTGTAAGTGGCTGGACTGGGATTTGCTGTAGACCGATGGCAGAGTTGCAATAACGTGAGTACTGCAATAAAGCAAAGTCGTAATCCTTTTGCTGACAGGGAGGGTCTTACCTGCAATTTGTAAAAAAGTCAACATCTCTGAAGTGCAAGAAAGTGAAGCACAATGAAATGAGGGGCCCCTGTACGTGACATGCATGCGCCTGGTGGGCCAGTGAGTATTATGTAGGGAAAGACTTGCTGGTGGTGTAGATGTGTAAGCTTGAATGAAGGCTAGTGCGAGTTCAAGCATAGTAAGATTGAAAAAAAATGAACATGAAAAAGCCTTGGCAGGGCTAATGCCTAAGGCAAAGGTTGCTCCTCCAATGAAACAGTAGGTGGCCAGCTGGAATGTTGGAAGTTCATCATACAGCTAAGGCTGTTGGATCAGTAAGTAGGCTGATGGCTTCAATAATTACTGATGTAGAATAAGTGGGTGGGTGTCTCTTGGGGTGGAAAATGGGCTAAAGATGCTTTTGTTTTATGGCAGAAACCAGCAATTACTGCTCCGGCTCATAGGGGCGTGTCCGTTCTTAAATTTATTGAGATCTGTGTAGTAGGTGTAAGTGAATGTGGTGAAGGACTGGTGGTATGAGTTTTAGAGATCAGGTCTGTCCTTTATAATTGTAAGTGGCTACTGTTTGGTTTGATGTAAAGTAAATTAATCATTGCTGAATAAAAAATTAAGCGGTTCTTTGTTATGTGTGGGAAATAAAATGCTTGGAAATAGATTAACAACAGGTAATCCTATTACTGTTGGGATAGTGAAAGAAGCAAATACATTTTTGTTCATTTTGTTTCCTAAGGAGTATTATGTTTTGATGTTTTAATTGTTTAGTTCTGGATCCGAAGGATAAGAATGTTTTGAAATTTTTAATTGAAATATAATGAATAGTACTATAATTATTGATATAATGTAATCATGTTGATGTATCTAGTTGTGGCATATCATTAAGAGGTTGAAACTATCTTAAACTTGAAGGATTAATGCTATTTAGTTTTTTTATTGCTTTTATATTACAGAAGCAGATCATTCTTTGAAATATTTTAATAGAACCAATTTGAAGACAATAGGCATAAAGATATGACTTAACCCACAAATTTCTGAATATTGTCCATAGTATAAGCCTGATCATGTTAGGGCTGTTTATATCCTGGAATGGCATTTGTCTTTAGGCCTAAGGAGGGAATAGCTCATGAGTGTAGACCACATTTGGACAGATTTAGTATTCAGGTTGTTACTTCTATAGGTAGGACTACTTCATTATCAACTTCTAGTCATAGTTCTGGCTTTTGACCTATTGTAGGAATTATATAGATCTTCATAGTCTGTGTATAACAGTGACTATAGGTTTGTACAGTTAGGGAAGATTATTATTTAATCTATTGTATCAAGAATTTGTAATGCTAGAGCAATTAAAATTCGATAATGGGCAGAATAATTCAAACTGTTTCTACTTGTGTATCTGTTGTATTTGTGTGAGCTTAGTTGTCAATATTAATGAAATTAATGAATTGATGTAAAGGACTAAAGAACTAATCAGGAAAAACAATTATCTATATATATAAAAGGTTAATATGCTAAGTGTCTGACCGTCCGACCGGTCACTATAACATGCACTGACCACCAGGGGGCAGACCCTCAACGCAGGAGCTGCTGAGCTGTAGTGACTTGGCAACAGTGGTTCTTAGGTGACGCACCCTGAAACCAGAGAGGAGGGAGCCCGATTCCTTGCGGGGCCATGTGATTCCACCTTCGGCCGTGGGTTATGTTGTTGCTGGGGCACTTTTGGCCCTGAATCTGATTTACTGCACACTTGCGTTTTCCTTCCACATCCTGTACAACAGCAATTTTGCAGAGTGCCCTCTTGCATCCTGGGACCTCTCGGGGGATGTCGGAGAGCTGGTTTCGGCCCGATCCCTGCAGGCCAGGCTGAGGGACCCCACCTGCCGGAGGGACCCCGCTCACTCCGCAGA